CGGGGCTTAGGCCAAAACAATTCTTGTGTTGATTCTTTAATTTTCTGCACTTTATATTTTCAGTTCTACAGTCTAATATCGTGTGTCCTGGCCTTACAAATATGATGTTAAAAATAAATTTGAGGCCAAATCGAGTTTAGCCCAAATGAAGCCCCACTATCTCACTTTTGAGACAAGCTAACAGTTCGTTAGTGACATTCGGAGGACCAATTTGGACTGATCTACATGTTTTGATACCTCTAATAATAAGACAAATTCGAGCCAATAATGTTTAAGAGATGGGAGGATGAATGTTTACAGAGCTTTACAACAGATATCAAATCGAGAGCACAAAGAGAGGGATTTAAACATCCTATTTATCCTCTCGCTCAATTAATTATTTATTTTTAATAAAATTTAAATTTTAGAACATATAAAAATAAAATAAAATAGCATGTTTTGAGAATTCAGGGCACGCATTCCTAACCCATCGTATTTAATGGTCCGTTTGACAAAACTTTTATTTTTGTTTCTTGTAAAAGAGCTGTCTGAAAAAATTTCTTAATTTTTATTTGAAAGCTACTTTTTTAAAGAGTTTTCTATTTCAAAAGTAATTTTAAAAGAAGTCATATTAATTAAACATATTCTAAAAGCTTTTCTAATTAAAAAACAAAAACTTTCATAAATTAGTCAAACGAATCCAAATGTTCATTTTGACTTCTCAAAAGTTATGCCTAAAATGACTCTAACCAGTAGAGTATTTAACAATATTATAAAATGCATAATGCGTGACGATGCATGGAAGTTTCTATGAACTAGGCAAAACATATGCGTAAAAAAGGGTAAAATGACGTTTTCTTATTTTAATATTATTATAATTTTAAATCAATCAAAAAACCATTTAATAATTAAAAATGATACATATCTAACATCTAAAACGTATTTATAAAAAATTTATACATTTTTTCAAAAGCTTTCAACAAAATAATAAGTTTAAAATGTAAATCAATTTTTAACTTTAAAAAATTATATTAATATGTGCCTAGGCGCGAGGCATGCATCACCGATCTAAATAAGGAGCTAAGCCACTTGATTTGGCATTTTCGCTTTGCAGTGCATCGTGCCTAGGCAGCACACTAACGACGTTTAGGCGTTTCTTTTAGAACACCGATATTTAATATCTCTAACTTTATGAGCCCGCCTAGAGTACTAGCGTCACTTTAATTTATATAATGAGTAATGCTACAGGTACATAAACATCTACATAAGGGTTTACATAATTACACGTGTCATATGATCTAACCTTTAATTCAAATTTCACACTTACACATCAACAATTGGATGATT